ACTCCTGCCTTTGGCAGCTGGTCTCGTTTGCACCTTAATTCAGGCAGAGGCATTTCTAATAATTCTAATAACCGGATCAAAACACTTCTCCCCCCCCATCCCACCAACCCCGGGGCCCAGGGCTGGACCTGCAGGTGTGCCCAGGCTGTGCCCAGGCTGTGCCCACCCCCTTACCTGTGCAGTGCTCTGCAGGTGGGTGAGGTGGCAGGACAGGGCCCGCAGGCAGCGCTCGGGGCTGAAGTGCACAAACCACAGCTGGAAGGGGCAGGTCAAGGAGGGAATGGTTCCATCTCCCCCCTCCCAGCTCCGTGGGGATGGGAGGTGGGATCTCACAGGGAGCAGAGCCTGTGGGGTGCTCAGGATACAGCCAGGACCCAAAAAACACATCACAGGGCTCGTTTCAAGCCACGAGGCTTTAGTGCTATTCAGGGCTGGTTTTGAGCCATGTCTGGTCTAAGACAAAAGTTCAAATTATTGGGACAAGAAGAGGGGTGGCAGAGAAAGGGGACATTACCCCAGTGCAGTCCTCCTCCCTCCCCTCCTGCAGCCTGGGGTGGGGGCACAACAGGGATAACCCAGGGTCACTGCCCATCACTCATCTCAGTGGCCTTAAATCCAAATAAACTGGTGGGGCACAGAGACTTAGCTCCCCTAAACCCTAACCCCCTTCCTGCTTTCTTGGCTTTGTTTCTCTTTCTATTTCTATATCCTAAATGTATTTTATATTTATATTATTCACATTATATTTACGTTATTTATATCCCATTTATATTTGTGTTTACATCCAACTATTGATAATATTTCCCCTTTATTTGTTGCAAAATTTCCCCTACTTGGTGCTGGTCTGCAGGACAGAGACTGCTGTGAAGAGTCTTCCAAGAGCAACTTGGAAGTCCTGCCAGCTCTGAGGCAGCCAAAGGTCTGCTCTTGGACATCTCCTCAACCTGCCACCATCAAGGGGATCCAGGAACAGCAGAAAAGCCAGAGGGTTAAAATAGATCTGACATTGAGCAGACAGGGAAATTGTAAATTATTTGCTGCTCTCAGGCAGTTCTGGGACACAAAAAGGTGAAGGCTCCTTGGATTAGTCCTCACTTACTGAGGTGTGGAACTATCCTGGCGTGAATAAATGTGTAATTCAGGTTTGCAGTTATTGTAATTCAGGTTTGTAATTGCCCTCATCCTGCAGGACTTTGTCCCTGCCAGCCCTCCTGCAGAATTCCCTGCTCCCTTCCCTGCCCCTGTGCTCCACCCTGGCTTCCCTCACCATTTGCATTTCTTACCTCTTTAAACTTCTCTCCCTCACCTTCCTTTTACACCTTAATGGGATCTTAGAACTCTCTTGATTCCCCTAAATCTTTGGCTAGTCCAGAAAAGGTATCTCTGAAGCCAGGGATGGGGAGTCTGGTTTTCTCCATGTTGGATTTTTGGGGAGACACTCTGGTTTTCTCTGTGGTGGTTCTTTTGGGGTGTCTTGTTTTGGTTTTTTTTTTGCCATAAGCACATTGCTGTCACTCTGCTTACAGTGAGAATCATCACTGTCCCTTAAGTATAACACACTTCCAAGAATAATTGTCTGCCCTAAGGAATCTCATTTCAATCCTTTACACCCATTATTCCCAACGGACTTTGGGCATAACTCAATCACCACTTACAGGAGAAATAAAAATACCCCATTCCTCAGGCCATGCAATAAAAAGAACATCCTAGAAATCCCACCCTCTGGATCATAACATCACTAAATACCTCCACATCATCCCAGGAGGGATATGAACGATTCCCTACACAAAGGATACTTGTAGGATGTTGTGTGGCCCCTCCAGGACATCTGTAATCCCCAGAATTAAACTGTGCTTGATAAAGATTTCATTGACAGCTGCCAGCCTCACATCCGTGTTCACGTTTATCTGTGAGAGAATGAAAGAAAAAAATGACATCTCTACAAAAGAAAAGTTGGGTCAAGCTACAAACTGCAGCTGGATAATCCCAAACCCTGGGTTTCTGACAGGAAAACATTGACATGAGCAGAGTGTGGGCAGGGCAGGGTGTCACCAGCCATCAGGATTGGCCTCTTCACCACCAGCAGACAGAAATCCCACCAAGGTTTATTTCTGTCATAGACAAAATCTCTGAAGCTGAATTCACTTCCAGTGTCATGTTCTCCCTTCCATCCCCCAGCAGCCCCTGAGGGAAGGACTCCTTTCCTGAACCTCTGTGCACCCCTACATTTGCCAGGTTTCCTCTTGGAGGAATCATTTGCTCCAAAATCCCTTTAAAAAGCCCGCTCTGGACTTTGAATGAAGCCTTTGCACTATTATTCTTCAAGCAACTCCATAGAAATTTCCACACTCCTGTGACTCCTCCACCAAGCAGTGGAGGCTCTGGGTGCTTTCTCTCACACCAGCATCACCTCCCTGCTTCCTTCTGCTGCCCACTCTACCTTGGGTTTATCATTTTATTGCAACTTCTGTGTGTTGGGAGCTGCCTCTTTGTTCTGTTACAAGGCAGCTGCTGTGGGACCTCGACCCCAGAGCATGAATAAACAATTCCATTAATTCCAGAGGCAGCAGAGGCTGCCAGGACTGTCCACAGCTGCTGGTGAGCCCCTGTGCCTTCCCACCAGCTGTGGGAGCAGGAACTGTGCTTTGCAAGGGTTTTGTCTCCAGGGTGACCTTGGGGCAGCCTCTCAGTACCTGAAGGGGCTCCAAGAGAGCTGGAGAGGGAATTCCGCAAGGGCATGGAGAGACAGCACAAGGGGCAATGGCTTTGAGCTGAAGGGGCAGGGTCAGGGGGGATATTGGGGAGAAATCCTTGGCTTTGTGGGTGGGGAGGCCCTGGCACAGGTTGCCCAGAGAAGCTGTGGCTGCCCCTGGATCCCTGGAAGTGTCCAAGGCCAGGTTGGAGGGGTCTTGGAGCAACCTGGGCTGGTGGAAGGTGTCCCTGGAAGGAGATGGATCTTTAAGGTCCCTTCCCACCCAAACCATTCCGTGACCTCCAGCCACAGCAGGAGCTTTGAGCCAACCTGAGCAGCCCCAACATTTCAGCCACCACAGCCCCTCCCTTGGCTGTGCAACACCCCTCACCTCAACCTGATCCCTGAACGCTGTAAAAATATTCCCTCCTCCCTGGATAATTTATATTCTTAGTGTGCATCTAGGGAAGAAACTCCCCTCAGGAGTCCTGCTCCTCTTGCCCCACATTCCCACACACAATTCCCTCCTCTCACCTTCCTCTGGCGCCGATCAATGACCAGTATGACCAGTACAGTGACTGCCACAGCAGCCAGGGTCACCAGCACACTGGACACCCAGGAGCGTCCAAAGGAACACAGCTGGACCGTGGAGTAAAGGTTTGTCCAGAGAGACATGTAGAAAATCTGGGGAAAAAAAAAAATAATTAAATAGAGACTGGGGATAGTCACAAACCCGTGAAAGTGAGAAAAGTCACACAAAGAAGAAAACCAGCAGTCCCTCTCCCTTCCCTCTCGTCATAAATTGAGTCACACGAGATTTTTCAGAGGGTGAGGAAGGACAGAAGTGCTTTCCAATAATAAATAAGGGAAAGAAAGGACTGGAAGGACTGAGTGAGCTCTAGTTTATTGCAAAAAATCACCAGTCACCAAAGACAGAAAGAGTGAATTATTAATGATGATTCATACTCAGGAAGGATTTCAACTGAGTTCTTCCATTTAGAGAAGAAATGCACTCACTGAGGCATATTAGTAATAATTCTAATAGTCCTGTATTTAGAAAGGACCTGTGTCAAGGTGGTGCAGGGACCACTCAATTACAATAAAGCTCAAACAGTGGACACTGAAATGGCATCAAGGACCATGTTAAGGGCTGACAAACTTGGTCTTTCCATAAAGATGGGAAAAACTGAATTTCTTTACTTCAGACAGCAAGTATTTGGGCAGGAGATTGCCTGGAACCAAGTATGATGTGTACATCAGCTTGTAATAACATAATTTATTTGCACTAAACAGGCACCAAATCCCTCAAAACACTGAGCCCCCATCCCTACACTATTAGTGAAAGGAGAAAAAGTTAAACACCAGGCCTGTTGTAGGTATCTCAGCTGCCTCAGCCACAGACAACCTGCTTTGGTGGGACTGTACCAGCAAGAGGTTGGAGGAGGTGCCTTGCACTCCATCTACAGAAATTCTGTGAGCTGGGAGATCTGCTTTTTAACTTGATTTTAAAAATCTGAAGATATTCTGGTCCCGATGCTATTTCAGACTGATGGACCAGTTAACTCTGGTTACTGAGGGGACTGCCTAGAGCTGCTTGTCTCCTTCTAGTGAGAGGCTCCTCCACAGACCCCACCATCTGCTGCCAGGCTGGTACTTTGTCTGCAGGGTGCTGAGCTGCAGCTCCTTGTTTTAGTTCCTGGGTTTTTTTGTACAGCCATTATACCTGCCTTCCTCTCCTTTCACTGATAGTGTAGGAATTGGGGCTCAGTGTTTGGAGGGGGTTGGTGCCAAAGGAACCCACTAGGATGGTGAAAACCAATATTTCCTCCCTGCCCAAGCCCTCCCTGGGCACAAGGAAACCAGGGGGAGGTGTTGGTGCCCCTCGGGCAGTGCCTGGAGATCCCCCCTGTCCTCACCACGGCGATGGCAATCTGGAATGCCCGCGAGTTGTAGAACATGTACCTCCTCACTTCAGGCTTCAGGACACCATCCTGGATCAAGTCTTTCCACTGATCCAATGGCACCTGCTCAGGGAGCAAACACAGAACTAGAGCCACCCTCCAGTTTGGGCTCCCAGTCCCACCAGAGCCAGCCTGGGCAAACATGGTGGGGCCAGCCTGGCACTGCAACCCGAG